GAGCCATAACACAGAGAGTAACAATGACTCACAGAAAAAACACAGGCTAAACTGTACCGGGCATTGTGAAATCATGTTCTGAAGAATGCAGAGAACTTAAAAAATGAGTGGCAGAGAAGGAACCCAAGGTGTATAACAACACAATATTTTTATACTCTGTGCTTAGTGTTGGCAAACACACAAAGATGCTGAAAAGGTGGGACCTGCCTCAGGGCCTCACAGTTTTATTTAGAGCTATGCACCCGACAATAGACTGAGAAAAACTTCAGATAGCAGGCCTCCAGAAGGGCAAAAGCAGGTCTCGACCCGACTAACACTTTGTAACGTGGACTGTATGCTCCAAGGACAGACACCAGGTTTCAGGGCAGGGACTCAGGAAAGACGGAGCTCTCTACTAAAAAGAGGGTGTGAGCTTGAGAAAATGGGTAGCTGTGAGGTTGGGAGCAAGTTGCTAGGAGCCAAAATGTGATTGCCTCTCCTCCCATGTGCCTATTTCAATTGGGAAAATTGCAGAAATATATCCAGGACTTCTAGGGGAAAGAGCCAGTCTAAAAATTTCAACCAGGCCCTCCTTCAGCGAGGGTAGCGGGGGGGAAAAAGGAGATAAATTGCCTGGCTATGAAGGAAAGTACTGGAACACCAAAGTGCTACTCTCCAAGATAAGTGAGATACCATGATTTATAATAAGAAATACACATTTTGTCTAAAGGTTGTTCCAGGCACAGACCTCCTAAAACTCTTGGAATTGCCTTTGATGAAAGATATCCTGGTAGCTTTTGTTATGTGAATGAGGTGATTTTTGAAAGCACTTGGGGAGGGGGCTGGCTGCCTGTGGAACCCACTTTGTGATTAGCAGGTTGGACTGTTCTGCTCCACCCAGACCTTCAGGGACGAAGGAGGGGCTGACGGATGAATCAATCACTATGACCAGTGATTTAATCAGGAAGGCCTATGTGGTGAAGCCTTCATAAAACCAGAACAGATGGGGGTTGAGAGCTTCTGGTTGAAGAACACATGGAGATTTGGAGACAGGTTCGTCATGGGCTTGGAAACTCTGCACCCTTTCTCCATACTTTGCCCCTGCCTTCTCTTCTAGCAAGCTATTCCTGAGATGTAGCTTTTTATAACAAACCAGTAATCTAGTAAGTAAAATGGTTTCCTGACTCCTGTGAGCTACTCTATCAAATTATCGAATCCAAGGAGGAAATTGTTGAAATTTCCAATCTATAACCATTGGTAGGAAGCATAGGGGATGATCTGGACTGGTCTGAAGGATGTGTACATGAGGGAACAGCTTCATGGGACTGAGTCCTTAACCTCTGGAGTTGGAAGCTATCACTGGGTAGATTTGAGCTATGTGTGAATCACAGCTAGAGTCCTTGAATTGCTTATACAGGTGGGGGATTGTTCCCCTGCAAAACACACACATTCATGGAATTGGTGTCAGAATCACACAAGGTGAGAGGAATGTTCAGAGTCAGCCATGATGTAGGAGGATCCAAGGGGAGAATGTTGGGTATATTGTGGGGTCCCTCTCAAGAGAGAAAAGGAGATAGAAAGGGGGTTGGGACTGGTGGAGGATTTTGCTCTGCAGAACTGTTTCTGCAGTTCTGATTGATTTCAGAGTCTCAAAGTAAGAGTCTATTACCTCAAGGTTTTGTAAAGATTGACAACAGGGTCAGAAAATCTCCTGCAGCTGAACACAGAACTATTCTGTGTAGGCATTTTTCTGAGGAAAGTTTCCATAGCTTTTATCAGCTTTCTAAGGGAAGGGGGGTGGTCTATGAGCCATAAAGAAATTCATTCAAGCACATTGTTAAAGAGCTTGAAAGGAGATAATGCCATTGGGAGCATCCCATTTGCTTTCTCAGATAAGCTGACCTTTAAGCAAGCAGAGAGCCAGGGGAGTGGCGCCTTGGAAAGAGGCGGGCATTTCTTAATGCCTCCTGTCATTCATTGTTTAGGTTTTGGGACACAGTACCGAATCAAACAGGGAAAAAAAAAACCTTCCAAGTAGACTGAAGATTTACTGTGAATAAACAAGTTAAATATTTAGCATTTTAGAAAGGGGCAAATATTAGGAGAAAAGAGAAGCAGGAAAGAAGATAGAAAGGATGGGGTGGGAAGGGGGAGAAGGGGGGCTCAGTGGTAGATGGAATTATTCAGTGGGAGGGCTCACTGAAGTGATGTTTGAGCAAAGGTCTGAAGAGAGCAAGAGACCAAGCCATCCTGCTACCTGGGGGGAAAGCTTCCAAACAGCGGAAATAGCAAGTGCAAGGGCCCTGTGGCAGAAATGTTTCTAGAGGATATGGGTAAAGATCAAAGAGACTGTGAAGCCAGCATAAATGAATGTGGGAGAGGATGCTAGAAAGCAACATCACAGAAGTAATGGGGATGGGGCACTGTGAAAGAGAAAGGAAGTTGTTGGAAAGTGCTGAGCAGAAAAGGGTGTTCTCTAACTGCTCTGTTGAGAACAGACTATAAGAAGGCAAGAATGAAACCTTAGAGATGAGTTTAAGGACAAATGTTGCAATTCAGACAAGAAAGTATGGCCCTCAGGCAGGGGGGTAGACGTGAAGGTGGTGAGCAGTGGGCAGATTCTAGATGGAGAAAGCCATGGAAAGTTTCCGTTATCTCAGTGACTTTACAAGTTGGAGGAATTGTGCCTTGCCAATTCAGCAGAGTCAGGGTGAGCCACTTTATAAGCAGTGCTAGAAGAGTCCTGGTCTGACCCCTCAACCTCTGGACCCTTTGGGCAAATCATTTACTTCCTTGAGATTCAAGTTTCCTGACTTACAAACAGGAAGAACAAATGTCTGACCTGCCCTGTGATCCAGACAGACTTTCTGCTATCTTAAAATGCCTTCTCATCCTGAGCTCTAGTATTTTGACTCAAGGAGAGGCTTTAATATCTGCCATGCCACATCACAGCCAAATCCTACCCTTTGACTATATAAACTGCTGCACTCTTACCTTCTTACTTGGACTTCCACTGCCTACAGGACTAATGCTTGACTTGCTTCTCAAGGTGGCGGCCTAGAGTGTGGTGAGGGAGAAATCCCCATGTGCATGAATGCAGGAATGGCTGGGCTGAGCAAGCACCACACAAGGCTTAGATGCCGATCACAGGGCATCGGGTGACAGCAGGTGTGTGAGCAGGTGATGTCCCCTAGGCAATGCAGACAGCCAGAGTGCTGCGCAGGGGGCAGCAGAAAATGTCAACGCATCTCTCAGTCACATAATCCAAGACAACAACACAGCCCATAGCCAAGACTATATGGGTTGAATAGCAGCTAAGTAGAGAAACACCTCATCTCCATCTGATAAGCATGAAAAAATGTAGAGTGTTAGGGAACAGGGATGGCTAATGAAACAGTGCTGCTTTTGCAGAGACATGCAGCTGGTCAGAACAGCTGTGGCTAGGCCACTTGAGCCTGGTTGCTCTGGTCAGGTTGCCTCATTTTTTGCAGCACCCACTGGGCAGATCATAGACCAAGGACTGCCTTACTGTCCCAACTCCTGTATCTATAGGTGGGCTCCTGACTTCAACTGAGTGAGGTAGATACCCTTTCTCAGGTGTTCTCTCAGTGAAGGCTGAGCTTCAGTGGTATCCAAGGGACAGAACAGGAAAACTGGGACTAGCACTGTGGAATTTGGGGGTACAGTACCAGTTGTGAGGATGAGAGGGTTCCTAACTGGACAAAAACAGGCAAACATGCAGAGAAAACAACATAAGAAATTACATGGCCCCAGAGGACCTGGCGGATAAGCTCAATGCTAATGGTTCTTATCCCTTGATCTCTTGGCTGTTCTGCCCTTGGGTTCTTTGAGGAGCTACTGCTCCTACCCAGTAAATCCCTCTTGGTTGCTTAACATCATTGAAGGTAATTTTTATTTCTTGTAACAAAATAATCCTGGAACTGCATCAATGAAGATTATATAGCAACATGGGGAAACCCTTAAGCTATAAAAGAAAAAGAATTTGATTGTATATGTCCTAGGTCTGTTGCTCTGGCAGAAAAGCATGACTATGTGAACACTGGCTGCAAGGAAAATATAAAAACGACCTCTGGTAGTTTTAGGGGGTGATGTTTTCCTGTATATGTTCAAATTTCCACAAAACTCTTATGCTGCTCATAATTTTTTAAAGAAAACAGTCACTTAAATAAATTTGAGCTGCTAAAGCCCCTCTAAATGATTTCCAAAAGAACAGGCAGCCCAGTTGATAAATAATTCTTACTCAGCCATCCAGGAGCTTACACCAATATGTGTGTTCTTATCAAGTTGAAGTTCAATGGTCAAGTGAGTTGCACCCATGTCAGTTCTTTCATATTTTTATGCAAGGGAAAGTACACACTGTGTTCACCTGGTGTCCATTTCAGTGTTTCTTCACTTAAGCTTTTGGCAAGTGGGCTCCCCTTCTGTGTGGACATAGCACCAAGATCCCCAAACTAGACTGCTCAAATACTTGAGCCATGTAACAACCCAGAAAAATGCTACACCCTCACTGTCAGTCTGTAGATACAAGCCTGGCCCTCTCCCTCATCTCACCACCTCTCTTCTGAAAAGCAGCTTTAATTTTTTGGATGGATCAGCCTCACATAGCTTTCAGCACAGCTCTTGTTATCAACATCTCCCATCTTCCACCCCACTTTCCCCAAACTTCTGGAACCAGGAGCGCTCACAGTGCTGCACCATGTTTGTGCCATGGGACTGGGGGCAACTGGACCAACCCATTCATTTTACAGATGAGAACCTGAGCCCCTGAAAGTTTTGCTTCAGGACAACACACACATTTACCAAAGAGATGAAAGGGCCTGTAGCCCTTTCGGATAATGCAAAGTGGGCTCTGAGAGAGGATCCAGGGAGGGGAGCTGGAGGCTTGGCAGTAGGTAAGCTCTCAGAATTGTCCTCTGGTCTCCTCTGGCCACTGTCTCCAGCTACTCCTCCCATCTCCCTTCCCCCAGAAGTCTGCCTGGGAAGTCTGCAGGGTTCCTTACCTCCAGAGGGTATGCCAGCGACTCTCCTGAGGAATTTAACCCACTCTTCCATCTCTGACTGGGAACCAGCCATGAGGATATAGGGGTCTTGTCCCATACGATTCTGCTCCCCTGAGGCTGGAGAGAAAAGTAACACAAATCAAGGTCTCTGAATAGTAAAAGAGCCAAAGCAAGGGTAACTGAACCTAAATTGCTTCTATGAGGCGATGAAACGACCAGTCAAACAACTAAAAATTCCTATCTGGGGCTGAATATCGACACCTTCTCTGTGTTTATGCTGAAGCCCTAACTATGGAGACAAATAATTGAATACTATGGTTTATAAACAGGGATGACTTGGATGAGAGCGATTTCTGTGGAAGACAGAAACTATTTTCTACCAAAAAGGAAGAGGAACTTCAAAGGATAGTATCAGTGTTAAAGTCAGGATGAACCTATAGAAGTCTAAAGACTTAAGTCAGTCACTCCAATCAGGGATACTTTCCCAAGCCTCCTCCCCACCTTGTTCATCTGTGGGAGTGGTGAGAGAAGCAGCCTCTCAGGTGGGAGGGACCATGAACATGTGTATGTGCCTTTCTCAGGAAACTGATGCTTCTTGCACAAGTTATTGCAAATGGCAGATAGGTTCTCAATATATGCTTGATGGACATGCTTGATGGACAAAATGTTATTAACATTTTTGCTTTAAACATAAGATTACAGGTGAACATATGTAGTGTCTCATAGGTTGGTGTTTTCAGATGGACAAAATGGTGGAGTAAATGACAAAGAGGAAAAGGAAAGGGGGTCGGAGATCAAGAGAAAGAATGAGAGAAAGTGACAGAAAAAGAGAAAAAGAGAGGGAGAAAAAGAAAATCAAACATAAGTCTTAGGAAGAACAAGAAAATGAAGTAACATTTTTCAACTAAAGGATATTATTAAATTTCAAAGTGTCTTTGTAGACATTGCCCCATTCTCACAATGTCAGGACATCAATCGTTTTTGCCCAAACATATTTTAATTTCAAGACAACAAAAGACTTTCAATTTCCCTTTGAGTCTGGTCTCTTGAAGCTATCTTCATATCACTGAGCCTCAACTTTTTGCCCTTTGGGATAACCTGATTCTGAATCCATCTTATATTGGATGATTGGATCATCAGTTGTTCTGACCAGAAGGGACAGTCTGTGAAGCCTTGACCATTCACAGACATCCTGAGAGCTGTGTGTTTCCACAAGGAAAATAGTTAAGTACAAAGTGCTTAGGAGAGAATAAAAAAATTTGGTAAGAATTTAGGTATCCCTTTGAAATAAAACAGGGATCTAAGACCATTTCCAGATAATAATGATAACTCTACGGACAATGGAACTGAAACCCAGACATGAGAGGAACCTGCCCAATGGAAGTCAAAAAATGATTAACAAGCTCAGGGTGAGACCTCAGTCTCCTTTCTCCCAGCAGAGCTCCCACTAGCCCATATTGCTTCAAATTTGACTGCCAAATGTATCAAATGGCCTTTCCCACCATGCCTTTTTAGTTCACTGTATTCTCTGATAGACTTTTCGCTTGTCTCATGAACAATGTGACAGTTGTCTCATGAAAGATGTTCTTGTCACCTTCTTGTGAGACCTTTCTTAGCATCTCATCCTCTGACCCCAAATTGACCAGACAGTCCCTATTCTAAGTGCCTTAAATCCTATCTTTACCTCTATGACAGCACTAGCCAAATCAGACTGAAAATCGTTTACTTTTCATTAAAATTGAGGTAATCACTTACTATGTCTGAAATTAAAGGCCTGATCTTTCTTCACAAAACTTGCACCATGCACAAAAGTCAGCAAAATTATCCTTCTTTTTTAGGAAAAAATCGTGGCATCAACTTTGACTTCTCTTTTGCACATACAATCCATTAGCAGATGTACTCTAATGCCTTCAAAATGTGTCCAGAAATTGGTTTATTTCTCACCCATTTTGTTACCATCTTTGACCTGGATTTTTACAACAGCTTCCTCACTGGTCTCCCTGCTCTTTTTAATTTTCAACAACAAAAAAAAGTTTTAAAATGTTAGACCATTTTAAAGCATAAGTTAAGCTTCTCATCCTGCCACTATAAAAACTGAACTTCTTAAAAGTAAAATCTTTTACTTTTTGTGAAATCTATGCTCACACCTGCCCATTCCCCTCCTCTTTTCTCCTGCACCATTCCACTCTAACCACATTGGCCTACTTCATGTCACCTGAGTGTGTGAAATAGCCTGCCAGACTCTATACTGACTGGAATGTGATTCCACCATACATACACTTGGTTCATCTTCTGACCCCAAATTGACCAGACAGTCCCTATTCTAAGTGCCTTAAATCCTCATATCATTGCTCAAAGGTCACATTTTAGAAATGCCCACTCTGCCGGCTCTACCTAAAATGGCAAATCTCCACCATCCTCACTCAGCCAGCAGGTCTTCTTTCTTTGCCTCAATGTTTTCCATAGCAATTATCTCACCATAAAGACTACACTATACTCATATATGTTGTTTGTTGTCAGTCTCCCTCAGTCATACTGTAAGCTGCATGCATGCTGTTGTGTTTTTTCTGGATTCCAAATTCTTAGAATAGTGCCCTAGTTCATGGCAGGCTCTCAGAAGATTTACTGTATGACTGAATGACAATATTTCATAAGGTTGTATGATAATAACTGCAGCATATTCAACAGAAAGAATAAAGCCCCCATCCACTGTGACTCTCTCTGAGTAGAAGAACAGATAGTCACCCTGCCAAAGATAAGCAGGAAGAAGGAAGTTTGCCCTAAGACCTGCTCAAACTAAAGGCAAACACAAACTAATTATAATGAAAGCTTCTGTGGCCTTTATGAAACTAAAACTGGTGATCACAGAGAGAGGGCCCTGATTAGAAAGGACACGTTTTATGCCATCTTTGTACAAAAATTATCTTGCACAGAGCATGACAAAAAGAGGAACTGAAAATTCTTTACATCAGAACAAAAAGGGTTGTCTCATTTTGGTTGGTGAAGCATTAAGAGATGAAAGTGTCTTTAGGAAAATAGTTCCTTACTTGATTATTGCCTGAGAATATTTCTTTATGAGGTATTATGTGTGTGTGCGTGTAAAAACTTTTCCAAGATTTCCTCCAGCAGTCCCTGCAAGTGTGAGTGATATAAGCAGACAAATCTTCTTCCTACCCTAGCCCAACAATCTTTGAAGGAACTGGACTTCTGGTGCAAAGGCCACAGTGAATTTGACACTGCAGTTTTCAGCTGGGTTAGATGGCAAATTCAGATTCTCAAAAAAAAAAAAAAAAAGAAGAAAAAAGAAAAGAAAAAAGAAAGAAGGAAAGGAAAAGAAAATTCAGGTTCTCAGACATGTGTTAGCATGGATGGTTGTCTCCCATGATTTATGTTGCGAAAGGCATCTTGCGGGTGGAAGAAGACTTCCATGAAAGGAATAGGGCTTTCCCAGTGAGGAGAGACTGAAAAAATAAGTTCTTATATGAGGAGGAAGAGAGAGGGATGGACGTTTGGGTAAAAGAGCATGATTTAAAAAATTTTTTTTCTTTGTTGTCTATAAATAGTTACAGCGAGTTTTAGGACTGGTTTCTGCAGTATAATTTCCTCCAATTATCCCAAAAATACTAAATACTTATATGGTAATAACTATAGACCAGGCCTATGCCCAAAAAATCACATGCATTCCTTTACTTTCATCATCAGTATCCCCATTTTACAGATAAAGAAATGAAGGCAGGGAGAAATTAATTAGCCTGGTGACATCTGATAATGAGCTGAACTGAACAGATAGTGGTGGGGGGAGGCTGGCTCTGGACTAGGCACGTCTAACAATTTTGCTTTGTTGATGGCTCCATCAGCTTTCTTAAGCTGGAAGCTGCCGGGTGTGACTGGTAAGGAAGAGGTACTCAGGGAACTGTGGTCTCCCCTGCTGTGTCAGCAGCCTGGTTCCCCAGCCAGACATGTGGTTCTGGGGCTAGAAAAGGAGCAAGAGATGGGGAGAAGTAGTCTGGGAGAAGATTAGCAGAAACACAAATGTCCTGTCCTTGACAGGACTGTAACGCTTGATTGGGAAGAGCTACTCTCCAGTGTGCTAGTCACATGGGCAGTAGGTAAATGACAGCACCTAACAAGTGCCAAGGGAGTCGAAACTTTCATTTCTCTGAGGACATTCTGGACCCCCTGAGACTGTTGGCTGCTGACTGGTGTTGACCTACCGAAGTGACAATTTCAATCGGCTCAATTCTTGTTTTAGCTACTAAGTAAATGTCCCTCTCACCTTCTAGACTCAGCTAATTTTAGTGAGCAAGAATGATGTTCTTTTCAGATTAGAGCTTCAGTGCTTAGTGCAAAATCTGGTTCCAAGCAGGCCCTGTGAATGGCCTACGGACTTGGACTAAGTTTGCAAACCCACTAAGTTCACTTGATGCTAGTGAATCAACTAGTGTACTTTTGTTAAGCAAATGCAGAACTAGTATGCGCTTTCCCTGGGTTGGTTGTTTAGCTGACAGACTCACTAATTTCAAGTTTCCAGAAGTAAACTGGGAATGTAATCCACCTCTGTCTCTACCTTTTATCACCTACCTGGAATGATCTCGAAGACAAACTTCCCAGCTTCTTCTGGGTTTGTTGCAATCTCCTTGATTGTACATCCTGGCAGATACATGCACCCCTGGAAGATCAAAAGTCAGGTGTGTAAGATAAGTAGCAATCTTATCATCCATGAACTATAAATGAAATTAAGTTGGAGAACAGATAGGATGATGGGGGAGGGGAGGAATGGAAAGGAACATGGGAAGCTAGCATCTCAGCTGGGAATGGGGTCCTTCTACAGGGGCCTCTACTGGAGTAAAGAGCAGCTACCTGACAGCAAGCAACAGAGTAAAGGACATGGTACTTGACAGGGTGCCATCACAACACTTGCCTTTTCCACTTGTCCAATGGCCAGACAACTGGCCAAAACAGACACTTGATTTTTGTGACGGCAATGCTGAGCTGTGGATCATAGCACTGGCGGGACTGCCAGGGTGGCTGTTGAAGACTGAAGCACAGGTAGCCATTCAAGGGTTTGGGGTACTTAACAGGAGTAAGGAGTGGGGAGTACGTTCCAGCAGCCTGCTCCTTGGATACATACCTTGAATGTGTTGTTCATTTAGTTCTTTCAGCAATCCTCCAAACAACATATCATTATGTGTGTGTATAAGATGAGGAAACTGGGCATTAGAAGGGTTCTAGAATTTACCCAATGTCACAGTAAGTAGCAGAGTGGTAATTTACCTCAGAAGAGGGCTCAAAATTTGTCTCCTTAGCATCCCAGCCAAGGTAATGGGGACTGTTCAGTTTAATGTACCCCTGGGAGTGAAGAAGAGAAGGAGTATGGCTATACAGCAGGGGGAGAGGGTATTGTAGGATATCCGGCACTTACAAATAAGTAAGTTATCAGAAAAACAAGGCACTTCTGTCAAGCGTATGCTCGGTGCTTTGTCATGAATAGCACACATTCTTGTACAATATATCATTAGCTCTCCATGATAATTCTCTGTCAAGAACATACAAGATTTATCACTTTGCCAGTCTGAGCCACTGCATGAAAGTTATTCAGTTGTATTACTCGGTTTATGTCATGTTGGCTGTCAAAAGTAGCATGTCTGATTCTTAGTTGAATAAACATCTGTGTCTTAACTATAGAGCGAAATGTGGAAAAAAGGGTTGGCAACAGAGGGGTAATAAAGTAAAAGTGTCTTAAGGCTCAGTTCAGGAGCCTGAAAGCCTAACTGTTTCTTCATGGTCTAGAAATCAAAATGACTGGGACTCAGTAGGAAAGAAGAAGTAAAAGAGATCAATGAGGGAGAAGAAATAACAGAAAAGGAAGAAGGAGAGGAAGAGGGAAAAGAGGGGAAAATGAGAAGGCTGGTGAGGAGGGGGTGGGGGAGGGGGGGGGGAGGAGAATTAAACAGCCTTGTTAGTTATAGACAAGGAGGGATTTTGCTGATTAGGAAAACAAGGGAAGTGACACTAAAGACACACCTGCCTCTCCTAAGTGCCTCTAAAAACTATTATTTGATACCCTAAGTCATTTCTTCCAAAAATAGTAAAAATAAAATAAATATGTAAATATAATTTATATCTTTATTTACTGAGTAATTACCAGGTGCCAGGTTCTATGCTAAATTCCCTACATATGCTAACTTAAGAACTTTTTGAGGGGCAATCTGGACTTTTCCCAATTGGCTGGTGAAGAAGTAAGTCTTAGAGGAATGAATAAGCTAATCAAAGATTACAAAGCTAGTTAATAGGAAAGTTGTAACTTAAACCTCAGTCAATGGGATTCTAGAATTGCAAGAAAAACTTTCCCTACAATTTGCCCTTAGAGAAGAAATAACCATCAATGTTAAACTGATTCATACCAAGCCGTCAATGGCAAGCTGCAAACCCTTTCCAAATTTTGAGCCCAACCATGGTGAATGAACAGAGTGGGAGAGAAGAGTGAGAAGTACAAGAGATAGTGGGGCTGGTGTAGGGACACTAATGGGGAAAAAGGAATTGTCCTAGACAATGTAGGGCCAAGTTGCTCGTGGTCAAATTCACCATCTTTACAAGTTGATCAGGGTGGACTCTGTACAAAGATGGGAGGAACGAGCCTTGTTCTGGAGGCCAAGGCAGCAGGGAGTGATTGTGGTAGCAGTGTGCCAGAGCCAGCTTGTATTGGCTCAGGAGAATGAGCTCTGACAGTTTCAGGAATTTTGTGAATCAATTGTTAAACACAGGCATTACAGAAAACTTGGATTATATAAATTTACAGTGAAGCATTAAAAATAAATGTAATAATCCTCAAAGCTCATCACTTTCTAGTTATTTATTATCATTTATTATGAGTTCTGGTCTTCTGATTATTGATATCTAGTCTGTCTGTGTACTGGAAATACTATATAGCATTGTGCTCGGGCACTTCTCAGCTCTGACCCGTAGAGTCTCTTTGATAGCCAGCATATGGTGTGGGGCAGGGGAAGGAGTTACACCACAGAAATATGCAAATGTTACATTCACATCTGCTCCTCCACCAAAAATATTTGTGAGCACCACTGAAACACAACTGCCTGTGGTGACTTCCCAGAAGCAGGGAGACAAAGGCACAGCAAAGCTAAGAATCTCTAAAATCAGCACCAGAGCAGAGACTTAAGGACAATTTGCTGGAATTCTGTATTAGACAATCTCCCTGAGGCAAGATGGTTGGAATGAGTTATAGAAGTTAGGTCACAGACTTTCAGAGCATTGTGTTCATTTTTTTGTATCTAGAATGAGTAATGGATTTTATCAAATGCGCTTTTCAGCCATCTCTTTAGGGAGTGTGTGGCTTTTCTCATTTGACTTATTGATCTCAACCTATTGACTTAACATATTATATTAATAGACTTCCTAAAAATAATAGATTTCAGACCTTTCTGAAACCTCAGTGAAGAAAATGCACTGACCCCCTAGGTTCCCAGAAGTACATGCCACGGGGTCTGGGGTCTGGCATGATTTCTTTTCTCATCTCCTTTGGTGGATGTTAGGTCCAGTGCTCCCCATTGTAAACAGAATCATGTTTATTTTATTATTTCTTTTAGACAATCTCTTATATATCAATGTAAATGAGGCTGTTTTTCATATGATTGGTCCAAACTTATTGGGGTTTTTCTGTTTAGGGGAGGTGGGTTTTAAAAAGAGAATGTGTGTATTATTTTAAAAGCTATAACTAAGTTATATTTTAGTTGTAGAAAAATTGGGGGGGGGAAGAAAAATAAAAATTTATACTCAGCTATAACTACTGTTCACATGTCTGTATATTTTCATATCTTTCCCAGAAATACAATGTCATGTTTTTTCCTCCTCAACAATGGGATTAGTACATACATAATCCTGTTGTAAACTGTAATTTTTGGCTTTTGTTTTACAAAACAGTAAGACTCTGTACCCACTGTAGAGATATAGAAAAGACCTCTGATAAAACTTAGCCCCTACCTGGGTATGGCTTTCACATCTTTATTATAAATAGCATGGTGGTGAATTTATAAATTATTTTTATTTATTTCTTTATAATTAATTTGAGTACCTATGATAACTTTAATCATAAACTTATTAAATACCTAGAATTAGAAACACAAGAGTTGAAGAATCTGCAAAAGGCATATATTACTCTCCAGAAAGGCTGTGTGGATTCTGATTTCCACCAGCTTTCTATGAGAATTCCTGTTCCCTACTCCTTATCACACTCAAATCTAGAAAATTCTTGCCAATTTGATAATGAGACAGTGGCATCTCATTGGCTTACACAGTAAGTCTTTATTGCCGAGATTGAACTTTTTAATGAATGTTTATTGGCTAGGATATTTCTTGGAGAAGGTGTCAGTTGTGTCATTTGGCTGCCACTCTTCAGCTGAGCTGGTTGGAGTTAAATTGTAGATTTGAAAGAATGATTTAGTTATTAATAATGTTTGTTTATCATATGCCATGTAAAATTTTTCTGTTTATTTTTTGCCTTCTCACTTTCTTATGTTGTTTTTTTTAAGATAGACATATTTTTATTTATACCATTAAATTAGCCATTTCCTTATGCTGTCTTCATTGTTATGCTTAAAACTCCTGCCTCCAACAACAAAAAAAATAGCTCTTAGACCTTGAAAAATATTCTTAGAAGGGAAGGGAAGGAGGTGGGAGTAATGGGTGGAGTGGGTCAATTTGATAAGTGCAATGGCAGTGGAAATTTGGTGGTGGGGGAGTGAACACACATACATGGTACACTGTACTCAAATCATAGTTTTGTAAACAAATGGTAAATCTATAAAATATGATTTAAAATTTGGAGATTATGCAGAGAAACACATTTGCTTCTCAGTACTTTTATCAACTCACTTTTTACAATTTAAGTCTTTAATTCACCAGAATCATGAAAAATGTAAAACAACATGGAAACATACCTTCATTTTTTCCCCAAAATTTAACTCATATATTTAACTTTTATTTTATTTGTAGATATTTGCACTACCTAGGAATCTCAAAACAATGTTAAATGGTAGTGTGATAAGAACACTTTTCTCATAATAAGACAATTATGAATGTATGAAGTCTATAAAAAAAATTCTAGAATATCCGTACAATAGGTATGGTTACTGGTGTGCCATTTTAGAAGAATATTTAATAATAAGGGGCATTTATCATGATATACTGTTCATTTTTAAATCAAAGAATGTTATTATACTAATTTTTTAAATGTACAGGTAGGAGCAAAGCTAAAGCTATCATGCCAATGAGATCTTTTTTATTTTCCACTTTGTGCTTTTCTGTATCTTCCAAATTTCCTACTATGCATACATATACATTTTGTAGTCAAAATACATATATAACCATATAAAGTAAAAATATTTGATCTTTTTCAGAAACTTTATTCTTAAAAGTTAATTTTTTTTTTTTGTATCTAGAATGAGTATTAGATTTTATCAAATTCCCTTTTCAGCCATCTCTTTAGGGATTGTGTGGTTTTGCTCATTTGACTTATTGATCTCAACCTATTGATTTGACATATTATAATAATAGAATTCCTAAAATAAACATACTTGTCATCCTCGAAGCTTTGTCTAATTATCCAGGGCTAATTTAATTCTCACAGGACTATGAGCTTCCTTTTCCAGAATTAAGGGAGAAAAGCTAGGTACCTTCAATAACTTATTTTACACTTTATTAGCTAATGCTTTTATAAAACAATTTTTTGTTTGTTTGTTTTTACACATGCTTACTATATTCTGTGACAAATGCAAAACAAGTATTATTGTGCCGTTTTACAAAATAAGTAAGTGGGGTCCAGAAAAAATTTTAAATTATGTTGCCAAACAGTAGTCGAGGCAGGAAAAGAACACAACCTTGAACTCTCACAAACTTGCATGAAAGTAAAGCCCACCAAGGTTCCCTTTCCATTGTTAGGGAACATACGAGCATTATTGCCATTTCCCTTACTTTCTGCAGAAGGGAAGACTTTCTGAATCTGCTAGAAAAGTACCAGTCACCCTATCTTGGCCTTCTTGACTCTCATAGTGCCTGGGTTGTACATGAAGTGAAGGAAGTCTGGTTACCATGCTTGCATAGGACACTAGGTAAGAACCGGTCTGTTGTGGGTTCTTCAGTGACATTCACTCACAGCCCAGCCCTTAAGTGAAGGGTCTGGTTAACCAGGTGCTGCTGATCTGTCACAGGTCCCAGGCCCACCCCTAAAGAGAACTGTCTTTTTCCAAAATAACCTGTTTATTTCCTGCCATATCCTGCCAAACTACCCCCAATATTCTCACCCCTCATATGGGGATTTTTTCCTGGTTCTAGAAGGTTCCAAAGTCCGTTTTCTCAGATAAGTTCTTCTGCTCAAGCCTTCTTCTACCTGGTGGCCCTGAGACATCCACTTTACAAGTGGAGCCTGAGGGTCATTATTAACAACACCCCTGTTAGTCTCCCAAACACATAGGTCTTGAAGACTCAGTGAGGTGGGGAGAAAAAACTTCTGCCAAAGATTTAGGATGAAAGCCCTGTTAGCCCCATCTACTCCATCAGGAAATCCTGTTTATTCTACTCTCAAAGTATATTCCGAGTCTGAATCATTTTCCTCCAGCCCACAATTCCCACTGAGATTCTAAGCAGTATAACCTCTTACTTATATTACCTCCTTCCCTTGACCCTGAGTCTTTTTTGAATGTGCTTATCTTTTTACAACAAAAGTCAAAGAATGTTTCCCTTCTGCTGAGGGCCCACACTATCCTCCACACTGTCCTCAGTGTAAATAGCACTCTTGGTAGCCTACACTGCCCTTTGTAATCTGTGCCTGACAGAGCCGCCCACCATCCCACCTTTGATTGCCTGTGATTCTCTCATTCCTAGTTTTACCTCCACAGTGACCATCTTGTTATTTCCTAGCCATATCAGACATGATCCCCCCTGAGCCTTTGAACTGGCTGTTCCCTCTGCCCTGGCTCTTCCCTGGAGACCTGTCTGGCTCATTATCTTCCCTCCCTTGTCTTTACTCAAGTGACTCCCTCTCCAAAGAGGTCAATCTTTTAAAAATTGTAGCACTTCCCCATTCTTGAACACACTTAGCCTATTCTATGTTTTCCTCATAGAACTAGCTATTTTCTAACAAACTTTTTATTGTGCTTCTTTTCTGTCTTCCACCCTATCTTTTAAGTTTCACATGGCAGGTATTTTAATCTACTTTACTTTTTGGTTTATTTCAAATACCTGGACTGTATTTGGTCCATAATAGTCATTCAACAAATATTTATTGAGTAAACAAATACATGAAAGCCCAACAAAAACTTTCCTGAACCTGAGTACGTTCTCTCCGAACCCTCAGCATCACCACCATGTCCGGACGGCCATCAGCCTTGAATAACAACCTTATTTGGGGATTTCCACTTGGGCCAACTTATCTAGGGACTCTGTGGAGGAGGCTCACAATCATCTTTGTGCTCCATTGATGGATCAAGAAAAGAACAGAGCGACCTCTTCCTCTCAATGGATGAGTGTCCAACCCTCACGAGAAAGCCCCTGTGAATTTACACACCGCCTTCATGGATTCCTCACCTGCCTCCTGCTAGCCTGGAAGGAAGAGCCCAGATAAGGGGGACAAACAACCTGGTGGGTACCTGTGGCTTTGTGTCCTCTTCATCCTTGTAGTAGTAGAGCTTCTGTGCCTTCAGCACAAAGTACTTCTGCTGCCAGTTCTTCACGAAGGACCTCTGCTTCTTCAGCCAGCCCATCTTGATTGGCCTTTCCAGCGGGTTGGGTGTGGTAGATGGATGACAGGCTGCCATCTGTTCGCCAGTCATCACACTCCTCGACCGAGCTACAGAGAGGAACAGACAGGCAGACTGGCTGAGGGACATAAAGCAGTGTGCAAAGAATGGGCAGAAAGCAAGAGGAACCCCCAAAGGGGCTGAGAAGCAGATGGGGCCCCAGCCAGCGTCGGCACAGGGGTCCAGATCTATATCAGAGAAAACCCCAGCTGCCTGCAGAGGTGGCGCGGAGGTCTGCTCCCACCACGGACAGATGGAGCAGGGAGACCAGACACAAGTCAGCAGCGCAACGCACATGCACTCCCACCGCAGGTGTCGGCCCCTTAATTCTGAAAAGGAAGTGGCCGCAGCATCTGACAAAAGGTGCTTCCTTTTTCCTGCGTGGGAGTCAGTATCTGACAAGCAAGAGGAGAAAATAACGCCTTGCTCTGAGGGCTCAGGGTGAGCCCCACACTGCTGCAGCAGTGGCCGGAAGCTGCCGGGCATTCTTCCGCAGAGGAGAAGAAGGCGTGCTTGCACTGACCTCACAGTCAATAGAGTCCTTGCACTCAGGTCCCTGGAAACCCCTAGACCCTGCAGGAAGTTGGCACTTCCGGAATTTTCCTAGCCAGTGTGAGTGCCATTCTGGCCACTGCCCCCTGACCATGTTTACAGCGGATGCTCACTTTAGCTACCACCCTTTGGTCAGGCTGTCACACCCATGTTACCAACAGCGCACAAGCATTTGAAAGGAAAATGAATCCTCCTAACAGAAGGCTGAAGTCACATTTGAATCCAGACCCCTAAACTACTGTGTAGTTGGGTTTTGTCTGTCACATGAGCTCTGCCAATCTCTGGGAAAGTCCAGGTCTCCACATCTTGTCTCCCGGGCAATTCCCACTCAGGAAAACTTTGTCCTTCCTCATCTCCACATCTAGGCATCGAGTCATGTGCTGGGGGTCCCCCTGAGCCTACCCTTCCTTCTTACCTAGCAACATCAACAGCACCCTGAAAACCAGTGTGTCCGGGTGCAGTTACATACTCACCAGTCCCTGGTGTGTGTGTTCCTCTCCTCTTTGGGAAAAGTCTACTGGCACAATCTCTTTATTCAGCTTTTGCTGATTCCCAGAACATTCCAAATACAGCTGAACTAAGTCAATTCTACCTTTACTCTGCTGTACCTCATCCCATTAGAGACCATTCTTCACTTCCTGGCTCTTTCATAATGGGAACACACACAACTTCCCTGAGTCTCAGTTTCCTCATTTGTTAAACTAATAATAGCTCCTACTCTGTGAAAGTATTGTGGACATTAAACAAGTGAACATATATAAACTACTTAGCACAGTCCTTGGTCCAAGGTAAGCAAATGTAACTCATGATTTTCATCAACAGATGACTAGTTCCTATTGTAAGGGTGGAGGTCATCTCTGAGTTTCATCTACTCCCCTCTTTATTTCAAAACCTCACTTCATCAACAAGTTTTGCTCTTCCTTCATTCCTATCAATGGTACATTGAAACAACCTCTTTTCTCATTGCTTTTGAATCCTTTCTCTATCTCCTTTCAGGTCTGTAGTTTCCAACCTTTCTTTATGTATACTTTCAAATACCAGAATTTCATTGTCTTTAAGAGTCTTCCAAGAACTTAATTGTATCCAGGATTATTACTTTACCACTGGACCCTGGATTGTTGTCCAAAAAGGACTCTGCCCTAACAGGGCTCCCTTAACCTCATATGGAGCCTGTGTTCTCGTCAGATACCCCATATCCTCAATGGTTTCAAGAGTGATGCCACCCTTGGCACCAGCTCAAGAGAGGAAGAAAATAGGTGGATGTCCTGTGGTGGTTATGAGGACCAGACCAAACACCATCATCATTGTTAGGCCCATCCTGGGAGGTAGGAGAAACCAAAGGTCTCTAACAGCACTGGAAATGTGCTATAGGAGGAACAGGATCCAAAAAGGTGCTGGAGCTGATTGATGAGAACTCAGTCATTGTGATATGTTACCATCCTCACTTATGTGGTGTGATGCTGGGCCCTAGAACATGTTTTACAAGTCCTAGGGTGAACTTCCACACTGCTGGAATGAACCCCAAACACTGGAGACATGACAGCTGTGGCTCTCATGAGCCAGTGACTAAGCAGGGGGATTTTCGGGCCATATCAAGCCTTCTCCCACCTGTGCCCTCCACATTGCTCCTAGTCAGGCCTCAGGTGAGAAGATTCCAGTGTTGGGGAAGAAAGCTTCATTGGTCTGGAGTGTGGCTTACTTTTGCCTAACTTTCCTTGTGAATTCTTTTTCTTATGAACAGCCTCTCTTCTTTGTGGGTGTGGCATGTTCCAGGAAAAAGTAAACAAAGAAATCTGTTGCTATTAATGGAACTGTTTGTCATGATGAAAATAATAATCCTGATAAGCTTTGCGTGTATGCCAGTCATTGCACACTGGGGCATGCTCCCAGCCCTTGGAGAAGGAGCTCCGACCCAGATGAGGGTCGGAAAAGAGGCTACAGGCACACCAGGGAAGCAAAGGAAGGCAAGGACTTATACAGAATACCCTGCAGGAGTGGGAAATGAGGGCCTCAGAGGAGTCAGCAACTCCCCTTACTCTCACAGAAAGAGAAAGAACAAGCACCTAGCACTGTTCTGTGCACATTGTTCATGTGGCCACAGACAAATGAATCAAAACACATTAAATTCAGTGCATTGGTCATAACGGCCACATTTCAAGTGCCCAGAAGCCCCTCAGAAGAGGACATTTTCATTGTCACAGAAAGTTCTTCTGACCAGCATTTTCTGAAATCTGAGTATTATCATTACTAAGCATGAGGCAAATTAGGCCATAAAGAAGACACAGCATTTTATGAAATGGAGTAATCAAGCTGGAGGTTCTAGAAAAATAGCTTTGGTGAAGGAGAAGCCACAGGGGTCATTTCTTCTACCTTAGCAAATGGGTCCAGATTAAAATACAGACTAGTCATGTAACCGAATTTTAGTGTGCAGGTGAGGGAGGGTATTAGAAAGGAAAGAACAGAAATGGAAGAAGAGCCACATTCCCAGGGATGCCATTTCTGCCATAGAAGTTAGTGGCTTTTGCTTCAAGTGGGAGTGAGAAAAAATTAAAGGAAGTATGAACAGAGAAGTTAACTGGGGAAGCAGTATCACTTCCTTCCCTCATCTCCCCATCTTCTGACCCTGAGCCTCCAACATAACCAATCAAAAAAATCTCACAGTCTACTTTTGAGATATTTTATCTGCTTTCAGCTCTACCCCAGTTTAGATTCTATATTAGATAGCTCTGAATGTGTGGTGATGTGGTAGCAGTTCATGTCCACAAAGCTGGGAGAACTCTGGAAGGTGTTTTCTCACTATGTGAAGATGAGTATTATATTTCCTGAGAACTGTGTTTCAATGGATTGAGAAGGGAGGGCACAGAATTCACATTGCTTCACCTCAGACTTCTATCCTGGCCTGCAGATGCATCTATCCAGTTGTCTGCACTTTCGGGGTAGAGTCTAAGCTTAGCATGTTGCTGGTGTAAGGACTACCTTTGCCTTCCCCTCCCCACCTTGCGGGTTGCTGACAAACACACTGAGGAGCCTGCCTTACCTCCATGTCTCTGATGCACTAAGAGTGACATCCTCCCAGTAAACCAAACTTCCCATACGTAGAGTCTTCACAGACAAACTCCCTCTTTCTGACTCAGCCTTCCTCACTACCTCACTTGTTTTGAGGGCTTTTATCCATTCCTTGGATTTATAAAATCCTGACCTGTCTCCATCCTACCAGTCTCACCTCCATACCGCTGATTTTTTTATAAAACAAACCCCATCAGGTTACTCTCTTGCCTAGAAGTCTCCATTGTTTTCCCCAACATTTTCATCTGAAAAGATGAAGGCTCAACATCCTTTGTGGTTTTCCCACTGCATTTTCTTCTCTTCTTTCATACCTAGCCTGCACTTTACCCAGTAATGCCTCTGCTAAAATATTCTCCACACCCACCCCACCAAAACTTAGTTCAACCTCTGAGAAAGTTCTTGTGTATCCTTCAAAACTTACTTAAGGTCATATGTCCTGTGGGGCCTTCCAGGGAGACTTGTTTCCCTGGGGGCTCAGCCCCCTCTTAACTGAGAAACCATGCCTCCACTGGTTAAGAAGACAGGGACTCTGCCTTGGCGTTTGGGCCTGGCACATCCTTGTGTTCCCAGAACTTAACACAGTGCCTGGCAAAGAGAAGGCAAGGTGACACAGCAGAAGGGCACAGGCTTCTAGATCTGTAGCCTTAGCTGAGTTTCAGTTTCCTCCTCCATGGAATTGTGATTAGTTATATCTTGTGGTGTGGTGAGTCATGAATAATGATTATAATGATTAATAATGATGAGCCAATGTCCACCTCTTAACAATAGCATTATATGTGGGCCAATGTCACTAACATTTTTGTAGTAGCAGGGACTCAACTTTATATTAATTAATGGCAAAGAGGGAAAGGATGATAGGAGGATAAGTAAGGGGGTAAGGGAAAAGGGGGTAAGGGAAAAAGGAAACCTTAGCAGGACACTGTTAAGGATTCCAGGATTCCAGGTATGAATTCCAAGGTCTGAATTAGGAAGGTGGCAGTGGAGATGGGAAAACTAGGGGAGGTAGCTGTGAGGCTGAGCACTACACCTCAGAAACTGGTTTCACAGGGAGAAGTGGGAAGAAAAGACTTGTGTGAAGTCTGGGGAGAGACACAGGTCAGAGGGCCTTTTCCATCCATTCATTCAAGGCCCAGTGCCGAGCACTTGTCATCTACCAGTGACTGTGTTGAGTTCTGGGATATCAGATGAATCAGACACATTTCCTGATAGCTCACAGCCCCTGGAGACCCTTCTGTAGAAGTAGGGAAGGAAGTCAGAGAACACAGTGGGTTTCATCAGGCAGGGTGTCCATTTCTGAATACAATGCAATGTGAATGTGGACTGAGTGCTTTAGATGCCTCAGAATTCTGGGGAAAGTCTGTCAATTAAGAAAAAGGTTAGGAAAGAAAAGAGACGCAAGTGAAAATCTCAGATCTGAAAGTAACACAAAAGA